TGCTTCTTGTTTATTGGTTAGTTTCTTTTTTCTTTTTCTTTTTTTAACTTTCATGTTGAAAATAAGCCTTTTGTTTTCTTAATGCCACTGTTCTTTCCAAATGTGTATGTTGTGTGAACCGGGGGGCTCTTCCCAACGATGGATAGCGTGACAACCTTCTTAAGGGATTGAGTCTGTTTTCTTTATGTTTTGGTGTAAATAGTAGTAATGAATAAAAGTGTCTCAGGCAGGCTTCACTTGGGCCTAACACATCTACCTTCGACCTTATGGTTAGAAACAAGTTGATTGGAAAAGAATAGCTCTAGCCGTGGCCTTTAGACTCTTGTGTTGACTAAAATAATCATCAAGTGGCTTCTTGGATCCATTTGTTATGCTCAATCTTAGCTAGGGTTATTGTAGGACCTCGAATCTGTTCTCTTTAACAATCCAACAACTTGTGAGGTGAGGTATAGAATTGCAAGTCCAAGTTTCGTGCCAACAAGTCTAGAACTTGCCCTGAATGCTTGTCTAGGTGAAATTCTAAGTGTAGCTCGACTTGAGAAATGACTATAGGCTCTCCTTGATCCAATTTGGAACTTGAAGGCTTTCATAGCCTACCAATATGATATCCCTAGTCAACCCCTTTGAGCCGAAGCCCTTTTTCTTTCAATAACCGCGTTACAAGCCTTTATCCATTCTATGATGACCCTCTCTTGGCACCCGATCTTTCCTTGGCATTCTTGATAGACAAGTAGCAAAAGCATAAGTTTAGGGGAGAGACGAGAAATGTGAAAGCGGTAAATGAAGAAAAGGGACGGGAAAAGAATAGAAAGAAAAGCCAAAAAGAAATATGTCAAAAAGAAAGTGAATAAGATAGAATAGTGAATGGATTCAAAGAAAGCAATGATGAAAGGCATGGAACGATTAGAAAAGGAGAAAAATGATCGTCATGAGCAAGAAAGAGCGACAATGTGTCTCTCTAGTCCCTCTAACAAAGAAGAAAATGACTCAAAGAGTCAAGAAAGTATGAGCCGAAATGAGAAAATGGAGTCCTTAAGGAAAGATGAAACCATCATATGCCAATAAGTCCTATCTTGATCCAAAAGCCTTCATTACATTCCCGCAAAAGCCCTATATGATTTCGAGTTGAGTGAGCTTAGATTAGTGGTGATTTACATAAGGGCAAGCTTATGGCACTTAGAACCGGACTTGTGACATTCCCTTGAGAGAGATGAGCGTACTTCTTCATAATCCTTGTTTTGAGTGCTACAATCTAAAGTGAGATTTGCTTGTGGATAGTAGAGGAGGAAAAGTTTGGGTTCCACAATGATCTACGTAATAGAGCGAGCTTCCTTGATGAATTAAGTCAACTCTTGATGCTCTAGTGTCGCATTAGAACTATGGTACTAAAAAGGTTTTGTGTTGTTGACAATTCATTTGCGTCAAGGGTAATTGTTAGTCCCAATTGATGCGTGATTGATTCACATTAGGGCAGCTGAAATATCCTTCTGTTTTGTTTTAGTGGAGGCGGGAATTACCTTATTTGTCGAGGACAAGCAAAAGCTTAAATTTGGGGGAGTTGATAAGTGGGGATTTTAGCCTATTATTTGCTCTCTTTTACTTGTGTTTTGGGCCAAAAATGCGGGAAGGTATTCCCGGAAACTAACTTAATATGCTTGCTTGCGAGGATTTTTCAAAATGAGAAAAATGAGCCATACTCAACTCATAAAGGAGTCAAAACTGGAACAAAAACCAAGACTGTGCCAACAGATGAGAAACGCGGACCGTGACAAGATTGTGCGGCCGCGAAAGTATCAACGCGGCCGCGAACACTATTTCGAGGTCTGTGAAATGAAGAATCAGAAGTGCATTTTCAGGCCAAATGTTAAGCGAGGTCCACGCCAGAAATGTGCGATCGTGAAGGTCTTACCGCGACCACAGTGGAAATTATGCGGACCGCGGTGCATGAAGTTCAGAGAGCTCAAAACTTGAGCAAAAGAAGGAAGTGAGGTTCGCGTCAGAATTACGCAGCCGCGGAAGTCCACTACGCGGCCGCAATGGAAATTATGCGGCCCACGAAACCATGCTCAACCCAGATCCAGAAGTTAAAAATGCGGACCGCAGTCAGAATTACACGGCCGCGAAAGCAAGAGTCAGGGTTACTTTTGTCCGGAAATTTCAGCTTTATAAATAGATATTTTTAAATTTTTTAGGTTAAGTTATGTTTTTGCTGAGCACGTGAGACAACTGGAAATTCCATTTTGGGCAATTTTGTACTTGAATTATCTCTCAACATTAGATTTTCATCTTTTAATCTAGTATTATGAATTTTATTTTTATTTCTTCTTTAATTTCTGTGATTTCCATGAGTAGCTAAACACATAGCTAGGGTTGTGACCCAACCCTAGTTTGGGTATTTGATGGGTCTTGAATTTAGGGCTTGAATGTGTATGGGTTAGTAGTATTTAGCCTAGTTCTTGCTAGAACTATGGAATTAGTGGTTACAAACACCGATTCATGCCTCTATGACTTAGTCTGTACTTGAGAAAGAGGGATTAAGTCTAGGAAAACTAGGCTAACAAGAAATTGGGGTGAACTCAAGAAATTGATAGCCCCAATTAAAGGGTTAAATATAGAGATGGTAATACCCGACTTGAGCTAATATTATTTGTATAGAATGAATACCCATTTGGACTTGAGAAAGCCAAATTGGGCAAAATCACTCAAACTACCGAGAGGTATAGAGTGAGTACCCGGGTGTGATAGCTATATTACGATCCACCTAGGTAGAAGTCACTACCCTAGTCCCTTTAAACCCTTGAAAATCAACAACAAAAATATTGTACTTAGTTTCAAATATTACATGTTATAGAATAGAAGTAGAAGTAGAAAACAAACCAAAAACTTGTGGAAGTGTAATTAGATTCAAAGCCCGCATTTAGCTTAGATATAAATCTAATTTCAATTATTAACTCCCTGTGGATTCGATCCCGACCTAGTTGGATTAAAACTGCATCGACCATCCTCTCTACTTAATAGTAGCGTAGGCTCGGACCCGATTAATTTTTGGCTCCGTTGCCGAGGAGTTAGACGGTTTAGCTATATATCTGGAACTTTTCGCGTGTTGGAATTCCAGCATAATAAGCTGGAAGTTCATACACATGTGCACCGGTCTCCAGTATATTATGCTGGAACTTTTCGTGTTGTAGCAAAATAGTGGCTAGTTTTCAATGACGTTGCAACGCTGGCTATTTCTGAATGACCAGTCCGAAAACTGGTTAGCCCGTGCTATTTTTATGAAGGGAGACTTTCAAAAATAGCAAGAGTTTACAGGTGGTCATTAAAAAATAGCCACAATTTCAAAAGTAACCCAAATTTAGCCACTTTTCATGTGAAGATAAATTTGAACAAAAACATTGTTCAAAATGCAAAAAATACTCTAGCATAATATACTGGAGTTCTAGTATAATATACTGGACTTCCAGCATAATATACTGGAGTTCCAATATAATATTCCTGACCAGCATAATATGCTGGAAGTTCATATACAGGTGCTGCAATCTAGAGAGTATATTATGCTGGAACTTTCCGCGTGTTGGAGTTCGAGCATAATATGCTGGAAGTTCATACACAGGTGCACCGATCTCCAGTGTATTATGCTGGAACTTTCCGTGTTCCAGCAAAATAGTGGCTATTTTTAAATGACTTTACAAACGCTAGCTATTTTTGAATGACTAATTTGAAAACTGGCTAGCCCGTGCTATTTTTATGAAGGGAGAAATTCAAAAATAGCTAGATTTACAAGTGGTTATTCAAAAATAGCCACATTTTCAAAAGTAATTTATATTTAGCCACTTTTCATGTAAAGATAAATCTGAACGAAAACAATGTTCAAAATTCGTAATATACTCCAATATAAAATACTAGAATTCCAGTATAATATACTGGAAGCATAAGTATGCTGGAACTCCAATATAATATACTGGACTTCCAACATATATATACTGGAGTTCTAGTATAATATATCGGTCTAGCATAATATGCTGGAAGTTCACACACAAGTACTTCAATCTCCAGTATATTATGCTGGAACTTTCTGCGTATTGGAGTTTCATCATAATATGCTGGAAGTTCATACACAGGTGCACTAATCTCCAGTATATTATGCTGGAACTTTCGGTGTTGCAGCAAAATAGTTGCTATTTTTTAATGACTTTGCAGACACTGGCTATATTTTAATGACTAGTCCGAAAACTGGCTAGCCCGTGCTATTTTTACAAACGGGAGAAATTTAAAAATAGCCAGATTTACAAGTGGTCATTAAAAAATAGCCACAGTTTCAAAAGTAATCGAAATTTAGCCGCTTTTCATGTAAAGATAAATCTGAACCAAAACTCTGTTCAAAATCGGAATATACTCCAGCATAATATACTTGAATTCCAGTATATATATTGGAACTTCAGTATATTATACTGGAGTTCCAGCATAAGTATATTGGAACTCCATTATAATATGCTGGATTTCCAACATAATATACTAGAGTTCCAATATAATATACCGGTCCAGCATAATATGCTGGAAGTTCATACACAAATGCTTCAATCTCTAGTATATTATGCTGGAACTTTCTGCGTGTTGGAATTTTAGCATAATATGTTGGAAGTTCATACACAGGTGCACCAATCTCCAATATATTATGCTGGAACTTTACGTGTTACAGCAAAATAATGGCTATTTTCAATGACTTTACAAACGCTGGCTATTTTTCAATGACCAGTCCGGAAACTAGCTAGCCCATACCATTTTTACTGATATAATACGTTAAAAGAGAGAACCATGAAAAAATTTAAAGAAAAATCATAATTACGTTGCAATAAATATTTTTAAAGAAAGATCGGTGAAAGGTGAAGGTTTGTAGGAAGAAGTCGCGGATTTGAACCAACTTCACTTGAAATATACATATATATCACAACTTCAAATTTTTTGAACTTGTAAACATTTTTCTAAGAATTTTGCTTGGATAAACTAAACAAGTACCAACTTCAAAAGATTATTTGCAAGAGAAGTTCAAGAATTACACAAATAATCGCCAAAGAGTCTACATGATGCATCTTCTGTTTTTTCCCCAATAAACAATATCTTTACAGATCAACAAAAGAAAGATAAATGAGACGTAAAGTATGGATCACTTCTGAGTTCTGAGAATCCCTTGTGATGCAAGTTCTCTTCCCTTTACGACCATTCCTAATTGAAAATTTCAGAATCTCTGGCTAGCTTCTCGTGAAACTTATGAAAGCCTCTGGTAATGATAACGTATGAAACCCAGAAATGAACATCTGTTTGATCCAGCATACGTCCCTAACAAATTGCCAAATACAATGAAATGAACCACTAAGGTTGGATATTTACTCTTGGTACAATTATGCACAGTAGTTATCATCTTTCTGAAACCGTTTCTGTAGTTATGGGTTCAGAACTGAGAAGCCTTTCGGCCTCATCGTTTGCCTCTGCTTGGATTTTCCATTTCTGCAATAATGGACGAATTACAGTATCAATGCCAAGACTAGATGGTGTTTAAACATAACCTACAGCATTACACTGGCAATTATAATAAACACAGTACTTCAAAGTAAACAATACGTACTTCCTCAAGATTCTCAAGCTCCATTATTTGTTGTATTTGTTCAGCAATATTTTCCTGCATAAAGTAAAGAAGATGAAACAGGTCCAGTAGAATGCTAAAATTGCACCTTCACAGAGCAATGCTTGAACTACGAAAGCTAGGTAAGAATAGATCCCACCACTAATAGCGACTACATTTTGGCTGGTGATTATATTCTTTGTTCCATTTCCCATCTCAAACAGTGATAACCAGAGAAAAAGAATCGTATGTATAACTACCTCGTCATAGTCTTCACATGTGATTAAGATAATAAGGAATGCTGAAATTCTAGCAAAATGATCCTTACCGCATTGCCTGCTGCTTCAGCAGCAAGAACATCTGAATCCATCTCTACTTCAATTTCTATGATGGACGAAATCTGCAATACACAAGGCATGTTATTCAATCCGGAACTCATGTTAAATGGTATTTGAGTTTCACCGATCCAACTGAGCATTTCTGGAAAGATAACTCACTCTTGCATAGCTTTCAATCAGCTCGATCCTTCTCCTTAGGGAGCTTTCCAAGCTTTCACGCACCCTTTTCACCCTACTTTTCCGGGCCCTTAAATCATAGAGAAATCCTTGTAATGAGTGACAAAGAAGCATACACATTTTAGTCTATACAACAACAACAAACTCAGTATGATCTCCCACAAGTGGGGTCTGGGAGGATAGTGGGTACGCAAATCTTAACCCCTACCTTGTGAAGGTAGAGAGGATATTTCCGACAATATTTTAGTCTAAACATAAGTTAATAATAAAAACAGAAAAGGCATAAGAGATTTAAGAGGCTTTACCGATAAGAAGGTTCTCCAACAGCATAGATTTTGTTTTCCAGTTGGCACATGCGAGCCAAAATCCACACCTACAAAATGCGTAAACAAACTTCACTTCAAAACACATGACCAAGGCAATAAATCATATGAGGGATTGATCCCGGAGTACTTCTAGAAATCAACTAATGATGCAAATCTATGTCATTGAACTTGTTTAAAGATGAACTCATACAAAAAATAAATACTGCCTTTTTATGCAGACCATGTTTTATACTCAATGGAAGATGATAGCGAACTCAATAGTAATTAATGAGTGAGACAAAATAATATTTAATGACATGCATATGTTCCACAAGCATGAATTCTGGTGCATGAGAATTTTGACAGAAAAATGAGAGGACTTCAAGAATAAAAATATCAACCGTATTCGCACAATTCAATGGTAACATTATGCTGCTTCCTACTTTTTCTAAAACAGCTACAAATTCTGTTTTAAGTACAAAGCTAACTGCCATTTAAAATTTTCTACAAAAGAAATAGAACCATATATGTATAACCAGAGGCAGATGCAGGTCACAAAGTTCTCTCGACAATCGTTGCCAGGGCAATGGAACAATAGCAGAGAACAAGGTAATTCATTCACGAGAACAAGACTAGGTTTTTTATGTGTAAGAGAGATACAAAGGAATGAGGTTATGACAATGAGGAATATCCAACTAACGAGTGGAAATCTTTAAGCAATTGCTTTTGCCTAGAAAAGCATTTAGAAAAATTCCCTTGAGGTAATCACTATAGAACTTGTTTGCCTACTTTTGAACTAGCATTTAAAATGCAAGTATAAAATCGAAAGGCTTTAAACAATTTTTAAAAGAACACAGGAGCATCAATAATAGAAATGCTTTCGTCCCATCAAAACAGCTGTTGAACTCGAACCATGTAAGTGTTATTCATTACTATCTTCATTTAAGTGTCTAATCTATGCCAAGGGCCAGAGACGGAGGAATCATCTTTCAGGAAACAAATCTTTAAAGAAATGGAATGTAGTTGAAACCATTTGAACTGACAAAATTTCTTTATGAATTGACACTAAGAATCTTCTACACTGCACCAGCTATTCCTTTGTGGCAGTGGGTGCACAGTTTTTTCTTTGTAGATTTAGCCAAAATGACTTTTCAAGTAGATTAGCCCTAGTCCCTAGTTACTATTTGGAAAGTTCTAGTCATCAATGGACAAAGGAAATAAGAAAGCATTTGGCTGTCAACCCAAGTATGCAGGCGTGAGACAAGGCAACTTAAGCAAACATATCGCAGTTCTTATTCTTTCTTTTTTATTTCAGCTGCCTTTTATCTTTTCAGGCACCTGCAAGGACTTCATTGAGAGCTTGTTGGACGTTAATGCTACCAGAGAACAAGTGATTTAACAAAGTTGCACTGGAGTAGTATACCTCATTCTCAGCAGATCCTTTCAACTCCTTTATCCGTGATTGGAGCACATCATACTGAGATAAGAGTTGCTGCCTGATTGCAATGGTATCAACTAATCTCTGAGGAAGCTATCACCAACAAGTAGAGAAAAATAAGTTTCTGCTGTCTCCTTTTTCCTTTGCGTGTGGGTTGGGGAACCCCAGGAGTATGTTTGTCGAAATCTTAAATAAGCTTGTGAATACAGATTTTGGACATCATCCTTCAACAATGAAGTTAAAAGGGAAAACAAAAAGGAGCATACCTTGCTGAATAGGGGGAAAACCAGGCTGTTTAACGTGGCCCCAAGAGTGATCGAGGAAACTGCAGCGACCGTTATCATCTGAGGCAAGTTGGGATCTATCATTCCAGAGGCAGCATCTCCAGTGGCAAATACAGCAAGGAGAGGAACGAGGATAGAAGGGTTCAATAAAGATGGGCCTCTATCTTTTATGGGTGCTCTTAGTAAGGGTGATTCACGGCCATCTCTATGGTTAGTCAAGCACAAAGGTTCTCCTGGGTAGACGTTTGGAGGTTTAGGATTAAACTTTAGCGGACCCACCTCTCGGTAAACATTTGCTGGTGCTGCTACAGCAATGGTCACTCTCTCACCTTGTTGTGCAGGAAGGTCAACTGTTTCAGTAGCAAATCTGTGTGTTCGTGCCATTCCTGATGGGGTCTCCACCTACAAAAAGTGCTAGAATTGATTTGAAGAAGCCTCTTCTAAAAAATATGAAAATATTGGTCGGCAGCGATTGTCCCAAAATAATAGGAGCAAGACTCCACTACAGGAAAAAAGTAGAAAAGATCCAGGTGAAGGTGGAAAACTAGAAAATACTACTGATATACAAGCTTTTAAAAGAAATGTACCACAATAGAATGAACAGCAGCTGGAATGTTTTGCTTCATTGGCAGGAATCTTAGTCCCCTTCTCCATGCAGGAATTTCCACGCTGCGTTCGGCAGGAGGAGAACCTTAGAAAAAGTGAATGTCCCAGGATCAACACCTTACACTAACAGACTTCTCATGACAAACATTGGAACAGAGAAAAGTAGTAATAATATGTTTGACCGATGCATTGAAAAACAAAAAATTAGCATCTGATCTTGATTGAAAAAAAAAAAGAGTGTAAAAACAATCATGACAGTTGTCTGAGTATTGCTTGATTTTTTTTTTTTTTGGGTGATTTATTTGTAAGTTGTCTGAAATAAATGCTACAGAGACTCCTTTCGAGGATTAACAAAGTACAACCACTTCAATCAAAAGACAACTGGATCAGACAGTAGCTAAAGAAAACCAACCTAATTTCTTCGGACTCTATACTAATTATGTTTCCCGAAACGAGCTCATACTGGTAGCGGCATTTTGAACAGGATACAACCTGCAGAAGTGGGTTTCTTACGTCATGTAGTAGAAATAAAGTACAAGAAGCACATTGAAGTTAAAGTACAAGGAGCAAATTGAAGTTTGGCTATCGTAATGATTATGTTAAGGTGGTTTATATTCCATAAGACTGATGGAATGTCTTTCTTTATACATAATCCACAGTAGTTGACCGGGTTGATGAGCAATGCCTAGTATATATTGCATGTGAGAGGAGCATCTGTTCTCAATAACAATGACAAACTATTCATCATCACAATAAAACACAGACTACTTAAATTGCTTTTTCTTAAGCCACCTCAAGACCAGTGTTATCAAAGGGGCGGTTAAAACGCACTTAAGCCCTAAGTGAGGCTCAAAACATGTTGTGCGCTTTGCCTCGCTTATCGACCGCTTTTGTCATTAAGGCTCTAAGGCATACTTTTCCTTGCTACTAAGCGTAATCCTTAAAAAGCGACATTAAACAATTGATATTCCACTTTATTGTAACTTCTCTTCAAATTTCTTTGTCCATATATTTGGTATCTATGCTAATAGATATTATTTTTGGACTACACATACATATTTGTAATGTTTCTCTATTTGCGCATTTCTTCATTAAAGCCCACGTTTTATTTGCGCTTAAAGCCCCAACAAACCTTAGAGCTTTTCTGCACTTTTCACCTTTGCTAACACTGCTCAAGACATCATATTTTTTTTATCTTGGCCACAAACGGGTAAATAAATACAGCCAGCAAGCCAACTCGATCCTCTGTGGAACTGGCTGGTTGGACCCAAGCAGCTCTTATTACCGCTAACAACATTTTATCGTAAAAAGACTGACACAATCTTAAGTAGTTTTGCGCATACCTGGATACCATCTTGTGGCTGAGCAACAGTAACAGCAATCATGCAACTTGGACAACGCACAATGTTGCCGAAGAGAACCTGCCAGACACCAAAGTTGCATATTACTTTATGAATAATCAAATAACAATAAAGGCTGAGTAAGAAGAACCCAGACTCAAATTAATTCTAAAAAGATTTTTCATGAGTCTTCTTATACATTCGCACTTTTCGATATATGAATGACAATGACAAAGTTACCAATACCAGATTCTGAGTAATATCTGTGAGATGACAGCAAGTTTCTTTTCCCTATTGGGAGAAGAATGTCCAAATTTTCAGACAAAAATCGGTCACAAAAGCTCTTTGGAATATATCCTATATTTGAGATATTACGTGCTAGGATTTCCAGTGGAAACTTTTATTAATATAAATGGGCTTGAATTTACTCTGACTGCATTGGCATCACACCGCAGAACATAAAGGATAAAAAAAGATTGCACTTTGAAAGACAAGTGGCTGAAAATATAAGAATGAGCTAAACATATAAGACTTCAGATCAACTCTTTTAATTGACTATTGTACAACCAGTTGTCCTATCATTTTTTTCAGGGAAGATATGCGCTAGTTTGCTGTTAATATACCACAACAACAAATAAAGTAACACAAATCTAAGTTGCTCCGACATGGCAGTTTAGGTGACGTACCCGTATCGACACGACACTAGTATGGGTATGGGTATGGGATCCGTCGGATCTGGTCAAACAATTTTGGGTACTTTGACCGCGACGGACGGAAAAATTTGAGACGAGATACAAATTGATTCCTGAAATCAGAACCAACACTAGGATAAATTTGAAGAAAATAGCATACCTTATCTAGGAAATCAATCCTTTACTTATCTACAACTTGAGAATAAAAAAGAAATCCATATTTTACAAGCTATATATAAGTATTCCACAAAATTTCTCATAATTTAGATATATTTTTATATTTTTTGAATTATTTTTAGTCGGATCCTCGCACCCGTATCCGTACTAGGATCCGTATCCCTGAATCTTAGAATTTACGTCACGAAGGATCTAACCTCTAGATCCGCACCCATGTCGGACACCCGCACCCATGTCGGAGCAACTTAGACACAAATTATAGATTCAAAACTCATACCTTGACTAAGTAAACAAAGCTAACAAGATAAATTGATGATTCGTATAGTTATACTGTATAGGGTAGAGCCAAAAGTTACGTGATCCATGCTATTCTTGTATAGCATGTTTTACCTATGAATAAACTTATAAATACATAGTCCATTCCTTGCATTTTTGCTCATCCCATATTCCAAAGTGGTTTATAAGGTCTGAAAGTAAAGACATTACTGATTCAAATTACATTTAATCTACCACAGTAAATCCTTCATACTGGCATTGCATGCTCATAGAGAGAGATGATCAACTGTCTATCATGTCCAAAATGTACAACTCTAACACATTGAGATACTTAGAGCAGAGTAATACAAAAGCAAGTTGGTGTGATGAAGAAATTAATAACCTCTTCACTAGGAGAAATGCCCACTCGACAAACAGTGGCGATGATTTTAAGGGCATCTGAAACCCTCAGTGATGTTGCTAGTCCTCGAACTAACAAGGTATATGTCGTAACATCTGGCCTTGACCACCTCCATCTATCGTAGGATGGGCCTCTTTCTGAAACAGTTGTCCCTTAAATATGGGCAATTCAAGTGCATCAATATTGGGGATATCAATGAAAACTTGCCACAAGATACAATAGAATCATAGTGAGAGAGGTACTGCATATGATAAAAAACTTGTGATGACAGGTTTCACATCTTTTACTCATCTCAAATTCCTCATATCTGAAAGCTTAACTATATTATCTAAGGAGCTTACTCTCAGCAGTGATGCACCCGTATTGGGGAAGATGGAACGATGTATAGTTCATACTCTCTCCATTATATGACGGTAATGAAGGGACATGAATTTTAAGATGTTTTGATGAAGATGAAGTTTAAGATGTTTATTTGCTTGTTTATTATATCACTGATAGTGGAACAAACTATTAAAATAATATTTTGAAAAATTAGTTTGCTGAAGAAAATTCACATTATAGTTTAAAATTCAAATAATTTAATGAACATAAAGTCTTGAAAGTTGAGAAAGTTATATATAAACTGAATGCTATCAAACAACTCGAAACGGATGGAGTCTCTTTTAATGATTTTGAGAATATTTGTATCAAATTTACAAGTCATTGATTAACACAAAAGTTGCTTTTTTCCCTATGATACCATAAAGCTATAATCATAGTAGGCGTTTTTAAATGAGCAAGTATTGTGAAAGGCCATGGAATCACTTCTTTAAGAATAACTATTTGCCTTCAATATGGATGTTTAAACAGCCATTTGGTCACTTTGCATAACATACATCAACTAAGTTCCAACTTCAGATGGAAACAATGAACAAATTCCCAGCCACGCTAAAGCAAACTTGTCCCACTTATTTAGATGTCACAAACAACAAGAAAACCTTAGCATCATTCAAAACTTTTGTGTAGCTCTGCATTCAATCCTATATCTCCTCAAGTTTTCTAGACTTTGCATTATTCAAAATATTTGTGTGGTTTTGCATTCAATTATATCTCCTCAAGTCTTGGGGAAGAACCATAAAAGCATTCTCCTCATCTCTTTCTTAAAATTCGTGCTTGGTCAAAGTATGAGAGATAAGTAGTACCTTTTCTTGGTTCACATTGCAATTGATTACTTAAGACAGACAAGAAAGAAAGAAAGATATGGAGGGAAATGGAAATGTACCAGGATCAAAGGTGGAACGCATAGCGTCAAAGACAGAGAGTGCCAAGTCAGCATTATTACGATCAAGTGCGGCGGAGATAATCAAACAGCAATCAGAAGCGCTAATAACACCACCATTTTCCCCAGTCTTTTGGGATATTATTTCCAACACCTCACTTGCATCTTTGGCAGCAGAAATTCGACTAATCAATTCATCATTTAACAACTCGGACTGCACCTTGTTTTCACCCTCAGCCTCACTCAATGAAGCTCTGTGCTTGAAGTTAAAGGTCTTGGAGGAACAATAGTAAGAAAAAGTAATATTTTTGGAGAAATAGGCGGCAGAAGGGAAATTTGGGAAACGGTGGGAAGGGAAAGAGAAACGGGGAAAGGAAGGAGAAAACAAGCAGAGAGTCATGTGGGATTTGATTTTTCTGTTTGGGATTGTTTGTCGAGGCTCACTATATGTGCTGAAGCTGGAGATTAGGAACGAGAGGTTGTTATTGAAATTGAAAGGGCGGGGCCCAAACCAAAAATAATTGGAGGTGCGGGGAATCGAACCCCGTGCCTCTCGCATGCGAAGCGAGCGCTCTACCATATGAGCTACACCCCCGAGGTTGTAAATGTCAGCTTTAATTCTTTAATTATTTGGTTAGACAAACACTCTGTTTTTTTCTCTTTTCCGGCTGTTGTGAATCAAACCCGCATTGTTTCATTTTATGTGATCTCTTCCTTTCTTGATTCATTTAAAATTTATACTTGAAAATTTGATAACTTAAATTATTTCCCTTATTTTTAATGAGATAGCATGTTAAAGGCCACAATATTCTAGTGGTACTTTCCATAAAGCAATATAATTAGCTCATGTGTCATATTCATTATTCTTTTATTAAATTTTATGTCCAGTCAATACTCAATACTAATAAATAAAGAGGAAGGCGTATAATTTCAGGTTTGAGTATATAGGCTATTAAAATTTGAGATTTTTTTCTTCCTATACAATATTTGAAACTTATTTATCAAAATTGTCCTAGTTTTGTATATTAACCCCCCTAAACAAGGATTACTTACAAATTATATACAATCCATTATTAGTGCGTTAAATTAGGGGATTTAGTTACATCATTTTCTTTCTTTTTTTTTCCTCTCTTCTTTCCTCACTGCCGCCTCTCTCATCAATTTTTCTTTCTTTTTCATCACTCTCACTGACCGTCTTTCTCTCTCAATAAGGTAAGCCTAAAAGTTGTCTTCTGCCAATCAACCTATTGAAATAACCTCCAGTTTGTCACTGGTTTGCCCTTTTCTCTTTTACATGGCTACCCACTAAGTATGGAACTTAAACAGTACAAGAATGTTATTGAATTCAGCCTTGTGACACTTCGGTTTGTATTGTGCTCTCTTGAAAATCAGATTATCCTGCAGTTTGATAGTCTTTTTCAAGAAATGAATTCAGCACCTAGTAAGAATGTCGTAGGAATTGGAGATTCGAACACTAATCTATCATAAAGCTTTGAATTCAAATTTGGATTTTCAAAAACTATTATTTGTTTGGATAGGGTGTTGTTGCAAATAATTGGAAATATTATTTGGAGTTTATAACTCAATTTTGAGGGTGTTTGGTGAAGATTAAACTTGGTTTTGGCTGAATTTCAGATTAAAACTCGAAGAAGAAGAAGAAGAAGAAGAAGAAAAAGAAGAAGACATGACATACAATATACTTACGAAATTGTAGTAAAGTTGTAGTATAATTGAATGTAAGTTATATTTAAAATTTATACTTACGTCGTATGAAATTTATATTTAAGTTATCAATACTATCTTTTTACATAAAGTTGTTGATATGTATCAAAATTCGTCCAAAGATTTTATGAGGTTAATAACTATCATGCGGGGCCAGTAAAGTATTCTGCTTCACTTGATTGGTTAACTTACCCAATGCACTAATCTATCACAAATTAACGAAATCAAATTAAATTAGCACTAAATAGATACATCGTACTTACAATTTGTCACGACCCAAACCAATGGGCCGCGACGGGCACCCGGTACCTTACTCAACTGAGTACCAACGTAATGTATCTTTCGTATCATTCTATCATAGGTAAATGAAGCGAAATAAATCATGAGGGAATACATTATATGTCACGATCCAATTTCCCCTCCGTTGGGTTTCGTGACGGCACCTAGTCTTATGGACTAGGTAAGCCTAATTTTACAGAAGAACAACAATAATAAATAACATCTTAAAATTTTTCTGGAATGAATCCTTTATACAATGAGCATATTCCCAAAACTCGGTAGTACAAGTCATAAGCTCTACAGAGTTAGCTGCCACTTCTATATAAACTATTTGGAAAGGAGTGAAAACAGTTGAATACGAGTAAGAAGGTGACTCCGAAGCCTGCGAAAGCAGCAGCGGGTTTACCTTGAGTCTCCTCAACAATGGTCCGCACAGTTACTAACGATCGACATGCAATAATCCCAATCAAATTCCCATCATCGTCCCGTGCAAGATCTCAGACCTTAGTCATATACAAATTCCGGAAACCTACCAATACCACTTATACATATACCTCAGGCCAAAACTGAGGTAAGTCTGACTATGCAATCCGAATGCCGCTGATGGACTCCTTCACTTGGCGCGAAGCCATAGAAAACGACGTCTGATGATCCGCAGAGCTAACCTTCATAGCTCGTACAACACAAATCACAAGGTACTCCAATACCGCTAACTATCCTCAATCAACACCCACCACGCTTCCGCTGCGCCTCCATATAAACAACTGAATAGTCTCTCAATACCTCTGTATCTCCAGTCTGGACGACACGTTGAGAAAATGTCTGAGCATCCTTGACTCCCTCGTAGCCTGTCTGTAGCATCACGAACCACTGGCGCATAGCGGACACCGAGAGCGTAATATTACATATGAGTGGATGTAAAGCAACATAAGTTATATGCTTCGAGCTGAATCAATATCGCACGGTAAGGAATTAAGAATGTGAGATTATCCTAATAGTTCTGTAGCCTCTCGAAAATAAGTACAGACGTCTCCGTACCGATCCGCAACAGTCTACTAAACCTGCTTATGACTCATAGAACCTATAAACCTTGAGTCTGATACCAACCTGTCACGACCCTATTTCCCCTCCGTTGGGTTTCGTGACGGCACCTAGTCTTAAGGACTAGGTAAGCTTAATATTTATAGAAGAACAATAATAATAAATAACATCTTAAAATTTTTCTGGAATGAATCCTTTATACAATGAGCATATTCCCAAAACCCGGTAGTACCAGTCATAAGCTCTACAGAGTTAGCTGCGACTTCTATATAAACTGTTTGGAAAGGAGTGAAAATAGTTGAATACGAGTAAGAAGGTGCCTCCCAAGAACGCAACAGCAGGTTAACCTTAAGTCTCCTCAGCAATGGTCCGCACAGCTACTAACGATCGACACCTGGATCTGCACAATAAAAATATGCAGAAGAGTAGCATGAGCACACCACAGCGCTGCCCAGTAAGTATAAAGACTAACCTCGATGGAGAAGTGACGAGGAATAGTCAAGACACCTACCAGTCAAATAAACTGTACAAATATAAGCATAGGAACAACGGATTATGATGTATACATATAAAGACTACACATTATGGCTAACAATACAACAGTCATAGTAAGTGAAGAAAAACAGCAAGTAACTGTGGAAATACCATAATAATGACATAGAAGAGCGAGCGAAATCACAATATCAACAACCGCACGGCAGAAACCTCGTACGTCACAATATCAACAACCGCACAGCAGAAACCTCGTGCACCACCACAACAAGTACCACAACAACAATGACAATATATACAAGAACACGACAAGTAAATCAACTCGAGAACTTTTGATAACAAGGAGACGGTAAAACTAGCTCACAAGGAATAACCACTATAGAGAATACTAAGCGTAATAAGAACAGCTCAACAAGGGAGAAAATAATGTGAAGCAACGATCCCACAATATGTAGTTCAACAACAAGGAAGCTAACACGAATCAAATAATTACAAATAAGAAAATGTCAACTAAATATAGGATACCTAAACTTCTTTTAAGGTTGGGCAGATTACGAAGAATATACAACAATGTCAATTAAGGATGAGTATCGGGAAGATAATCATAACCTCAATTAAGACTAAACAATTACAGGAGAGATAATAATGGTTTCCAATAAAGACAAGCAGTTATGAAAGATAGCATGACGATAGAAGAGGTAAAAATCTTCAATTAAGCAAAACAAGAGTCAAACAGGCAATACGAATGAATCATAAAGCAATTAATTCCAATTAAAGCATGTAGAGGTGAAACTAGTAAATGGAAGCTCAACCATATAAAGAACAACTTCATACTTAGTGAATACAAGGACCTAAGAACTCTAAAAGGCCAACTTTCCACAAATAAGTCCGAACACGCACTCGTCACCTCGCGTACACGGACTACAATCAACATAGAAGACTCAAATCCTAAGGAAAAGTCCCAAACACGAAGTTAGGCACATACTTACCTCAATTCGGCCAATTCAATACTCAATTTAGATTTTCCTTTACCAATTCATCAACGCTCGGCTCAATCTATCCAAAACCGAGTTGAATACATCAAATAATGCAAGAGAATACAATTTCAATTAACAAAACTATGATTCTTATACAGTTTGCAAAAAGTCAACAAAAGTCAACTCCATGTGCCCGCACCTCAGAACCCGATAAAATTTGCAAAAACCGAACACCCATTCACCCACGAACCCAAATATGCAATTGAATCCGACCTCAAATCGAGGTCTAAATCCCCAAAAATTAAAAATCCTAATCTCTACCCAAAAATTCCAATTTTTACCATGAAAACTCTAGATTTTTGGTTGAAATTTTGTTAAAAGTTGTAAGGAATGAAAGAAATTAGTTAGAGATCACTTCCTAATGATTTGGAGAAGTATGGGTCTCTGGAAAATCGCCTATGGAGGTTTAGGGTTTGAGAAAGTTGAAAAATGGGTGAAAATCCCGTCAAAAATCTCACTTAACAGGCCTCAGATGTCGCATTTGCGAACCCTCACAATTTGCGAACAAGGCAGGGCTGGAAAAGGTCGCATTTGCGACAAAATGTCCGCATCTGCGAACTGGGCATCACAATTGCGATGGAGAAGTTCGCATTTGCGACCACACCAGAAACCATCAATTTTTTCCGATACGAAAATGAGCATAACTTCCTCATACGATGTCCAAATTCGATGATTCTTTTTCCTATGGCTCCGTAATTTCGATACAGATCTAATGGTTCAATAAAAACTGAATTTGGATCTCATTTTCTCAATATGGTATCATTTTTGCTTGACAAAACAACGATGAAGCATCCAAAAACAAGTGCAACATAGCCTAAACCTATCCGAAACTCACCCAAGCCCTCGGAGCTCCAAACAAAACATGCAAGCAAGTCTA